CATTGGTATGATCATCAAACAATAGAGATTGATGCAGTGTTGTGAATTCAAACTTTACCATCACAACACTGCATCTATAGTCACTCTTTACTGTTTTCACAGAGATGATCATTCCGATGGTCTAATTACATGGTTATCGGTATCCTAGCAACCCCAGATCACGTCACCACGCAATAATCACGTCATTCAACCGACTTCTGGGGATTCTGTCACTATTGGTGAAGAAGTGGGGAAGGAATTGATCGTCCCTTTTGTCTTCCAAGCACAGGAAAGTCTGCCCCTCAGGCTCCAGCGAGCCTGCCAAACTCGTCAGTGCCCCAAAAGTGCCCACACCAATCTCAGGAACACTAGACAAGGGAAGCGTCTCCTTTCAGGGTATGAATGCTCCCCCTGGCTGGCATATGTCTATACGAATGGCGGCCACCCAGTGGAGCACTAATTAATTACTTCCCTTGCGGTTTGACACCTGTAGCGGAGATGCAATATTCCCCAGATTATCTCCGCTTATAATCCAAGTGAGGCTCAGGAACAAGTAAATAGTAAATCCACAGGCAAGGTTTCCAGCAGGTAAAATAACAGCAATATCCCAATAACTGGACGACACACAGTTTCAGGAGCAGAACTGAAATCTTTAATCCACACTGTCCTTTTAAAGCATGCTCCCATGTAAGGGAGGGATTTACAATCATTAGTACAGTAGCCAATCCCGTCCTGGTAACCTCCCACACATCTCCTCCCCTCAGCCAGCATCATAATCCCCTTATCCAGTACAGTAATTCCCCCCGTTTCTGGATGTACCCCTAAACGTAGGGGTACCCCTTTAAATCCCACACCCCCTGATAGCCCTGATCTGGGTGAACAACATATCCAAAAATCACCCAGATCAGACCAGGGGTTCGGGAAATCTATGGAGGGAATAAAATGACCGACCGCACTGACTGAGACAGCCGAATGCGGTTCCATGCGAATGGGCCCTGTGGTCGGTCCTGAAGTAAGGGAACAAACTGCACGAATCCTCTAGCTATAGAGGCTAGGGAGGGTTCGCCTGAATCCCCTCAATCGGTTCTTTCTATCTACCGAACGAGGGGCCGTTCGGTAGTTAGGAACCGAACGGACCGGGCTTGTGGAGGTTTCAGCGGTGTTCGCTTAGTCGAGTGTCCGATTTGAGTTCCATACACTCGACGACAAAACACTGCTGTTCGGGAGTTTTAAAATGGCCACCGCCACGTGTTCGTTTTTCGAATGGCGGCCACCCCCGAGAACAAAGGACGGCTACTTCACTTGCTAATTACCCGTTCGCAACAATGTTGCAACGGGTAATTGAGAACACACTTCACACATGGGAGGTCTGACTGTTTGGTAGTTTCATTCGAACAAACTAAGGGAATGAAACTACCTAACATTCAGACGAATCCAATACATCAAATACATAGACTTTGCCATTTTCACACGAATGCATAGAAATACATGAATTGCTCAGGACAGCACATGGCCATCCGCTACACTGCTCCCCCTTGCCCACAAGCCGGCATACACAGTCTGATCCCACACGGACCGGCTTGGGGATGTCCGGGGAGGCTCACGGATCATTTCTCTAGGTCAGTTTGTCTTGACAACCCGTCAGCGTTTCCATTCTGTTTACCCGGGCGGTACTGGATATTAAAGTCAAAGGGCTGCAGCGCCAAACTCCAGCGCAGCAGCCTGGCATTGTCCCCAGCCACCCGGTTTAGCCAAACTAACGGGTTGTGATCCGTGAGCAGGGAAAAAGCTTGCCCATACAAATACGGCTGTAATTTCTTCAGGGCCCACACCACAGCCAGGCATTCCTTCTCTATGGCGGCGTAGCTTACTTCTCGAGGTAACAGCTTCCGGCTGATATAAGCCACGGGATGTTCTCCGCCATCGGCCCTGACTTGGCTCGGTACTGCTCCCAATCCAAACATAGAAGCGTCTGTGTGAACAAGAAAACGTTTAGTTGGATTGGGAGCTGCCAAGACAGGGGCATTGGTCAATCACACGTGTTGCAATACCTGCACACTTCCTGGCTAATTCCAGGCCAAAATAAACTTTGCGTTAACCTGTGCCGGGTCCTGCTGACCCCTAAATGTCCAGATAGTGGAATATCATGCGCTATCCGGAGTAGCTCTGCCCGGTAGCGCTGGGGTACCACTAACTGCCTCATCACGATCGGGTCTGACCCGGCTACCTGCTTATCCGTCTCCCTATATAACAGCTGTTTGTCCCAGATAAACCTTTCGCCCCCTCCCCCAGGAGTGTCTGCTGTCACCTTGTCCCTATACACCTGCAAGGTGGGGTCTGTCACTATCTCAGCTGCAAATTTGTTAGGAGGGGCCCAGGGAACACAGTCAAGGGAAGGGGAAGGATCTCTTACCTGAACCTCCAGGAGTGTGTTGTAGTCCTGGGTGCGGGCCTGTTGTCGAGTGACCACAGGGTGAGCTTCTCCTGTGGTGGGCGTCTGGGGCTCAAAAGCAGACGTGAGCCTCCCCAGATCGTTCCCCAATAAAACCTCCGCCGGTAACTGCGGCATCAACCCCACCTCCACATGTCCTGACCCCGCTCCCCAATGCAAATGTACCCTTGCTGTAGGTAGCCGGTATACTGCTCCCCCGGCTACCCTGACAGCCACAGTCTTACTTAGTTTAGCCTGATCTGCGACCAGGTGACTCTTTACCAGGGTGATAGTAGCCCCTGAGTCGCATAGACCCTGGACCGCTTTACCCTCCAGGTATACGGTCTGCCTGTGATGCTGTCAGTTGTCAGCATTGGCCTGGACTGGATCCACCTCGTGCAGTACTTCCCACTGTTCCACTGTTGTAATGGGAACAGCTGAGCCATATGGTGTGGCCACGATATCCTGGTAGTGCTGGGCTGCGGCTGCTCTCGGTGGTGGTGGTGGACCGGGTCGGATCCAGGTGGAACGATCCCACAGCTGGGGGCATTCCCTTTTATAATGTTCCCATTTCTGGCAGTGGTGACAGGGGCCAGACGTGGGCTGGCGGAAACGTGGCTGTGC